AAAAAAAAAAAAAAAGAAAGAAAATGGTTAAGGGATCTGAATAGACATTTTTTCAAAGAAAATATGCAAATAGCCATTAAACACGTAAAAAGATACTCAACATAATTCATCAGAGAAATGCAAATCAAAACCACAATGAGATACCACTTCAAACCCTTTAGGACAACTATACTGAAAAAGACAACAACAAGTGTTGTTGAGACGTAGAGAAACTGGACCCCTCATGCACTGCTGGTGGAAATGTGAAATGGCACAGCCACCTTGGAAAATGGTCTGGCAGTTCTTCCAAAAGCTAAGGAGAGTTGCCAGTTGACCAAGTAATTCTACACTTAGGTATATACCCAAGAGAAATGAAAACATATGTCCACACAAAAACTTGTACTTGAATCTCCATAGTAGCATTATTCATACTAGCCAAAAGGTAGAAACCACCCTCTGTCCACCAGCAGATGAATGGATAAGTAAAATGTGGCATGTCTACATATACAATGGAATACTGTTTGGCAATAAAGAAGAATGGAGGATTGATACATGATACAAGGTAGGTAAAACTAAAAAACGTTTGGTGTGGTGGCTCACTCCTGTCATCCCAACACTCTGGGAGGCTGAGGCAGGAGGATCACTTGATGCCAGGAGTTTGAGACCAGCCTGAGCAAGACCCCATCTCTACAAAACACTAAAAAACTAGCCAGGCATGGTGGTGTGCACCTGTAGCCCTAACTACTTGGGACGCTGAAGCAGAAGGATCACTTGAGCCCAGGAGTTTGAAATTACAGTGAGCTGTGATTGTGCCACTACACTCCAGCCTGGGCAACTGAGTGAGACCCAATCTCTTAAAATAAAAAAAAAAACAAACCCAAACTTTAAAACATTATGCTAAGTGAAAAAGTCAGGGCCAGGCGCGGTAGCTAATGCCTGTAATCCCAGTACTTTGGGAGGCTGGGGTGGGTGAATCACCTGAGGTTAGCAGTTTAAGACCATCCTGACCAACATGGAGAAACCCATCTCTACTAAAAATACAAAATTAGCCAGGTGTGGTGGCACATGCCTGTCATCCCAGCTACTCAGGAGACTAAGGCAAGAGAATCGCTTGAATTCAGGTGGCGGAGGTTGTGGTGAGCTGAGATCGTGCTATTGCACTCCAGCCTGGGCAACAAGATGAAACTCTGTGTTAAAAAAAAAAAAAGAAAGGTCAAAAAAGACCACATTCTATTTATATGAAATGTTCCAAATAGGGACATCTATAAAAGAACAAAGTAAAGTAGTAGTTGCCAAGAAATGGAAGGGGTAAGGGTGGATGATAGCTAAAAAGGGTACAGGTTTCTTCTGCGGGTGATAAAAATGTTCTAAAATTGGTTGTTGCAATGGTTGTACAATTCTGTAAATATACTTAAAACTATTATATTTACCCTTTGAGTAAATAAATCGTAAAGCAAGTAAATATCTCAATAAAGCTGTTAAAAATCCTTCAGGCTAAATGTTATACATTTAGCAAACTTTTTCTGTAAAGAATCAGACAGTAAATATTCTAAGCTTTGCAGGCCATACAATATCCGTTCCAACTATTCAACTCTCCACTGTAGTGAAAGCAGCCATAGATGATATGTAAATGAATGCATGTGGCTGTGTTCCAATAAAACTCTGTTTACAAAAACAGGTGGCAGGCTGGACCCTGATGTACAGACCACATAATCTCCCTCAATCCACATCACTATCCTACTAGGATGACAAGGCAGCTAAACCTAACGTCCTCTAGGTGACAGACAACTAGTAAATAGCAGAGACAAGACTTCTAGCTTTGACTTCATTAGGCAGTTGCATTCACCCAGATATGCTGATTAGATAGGTTTCTCCAGAACACCTCCCAGTCTGGGCAGTCAACAGACCTCTGACAAGCGGGTGCAGAACTGAACTCAGGAGCTGGAGGTTATGGTGAGCTGAGATCATGCCACTCACGATCTCACCTCTCACCACTCACGTAGGTATTCTTGTTGTAATATCTCCTTCTCCAACACCTCAGTGACTCTTTCTTTCCTAAACTCTTCTTCTACTTCTGATGATCTTCAATGGCATGGCCATTCCTAAGCACCCAAGTTCAATTAGCTTGCTAACTGAAGTGTTCATTGAGAAGAACCTACTTGGGTTTAATCTTCTACTACAAACACGCACAAATATCTCACAACTGGTAAGGTCTTTGTAGAGCACACATGGGCCTGATTTATGCACCTTCCTCCTCATTCATTCATTCACTCCTATTTTCTTCTGCATTTGACTACCTACCATGTGCCAGGTACTTCCAAGAGCCTAAACTAGTAAGTTTGCAGTGGAAAGGAAAAGAAAACAGTAGAATCAAGTGCCACCATTATGTAAAAAGAGCATCCACGAATCTAAATTAACCCTTTCTGGTCAGACGTGGTGACCCGCGCCTGTAATCCCAGCACTTTGGGATGCCAAGATGGGAGGATCACCTGGGTCAAGAGTTCATGACCAGTCTGGCCAACATGGTGAAACCCCGTCTCTACTAAAAATACAAAATCAGCTGGGCGTGGTGACGGATGTCTGTAATCCCAGCTACTCCAGAGGCTGAGGCAGAAGAATTGCTTGAACAGGGGAGGCAGAGGTTGCAGTGAGACGAGATTGCACCACTGCACTCCAGCAGGGGAGACAAGAGCAAAATTTCATCTCAAAATAAATAAATGTATACATAAAGTAATTAATTAATTAACCCTTTGCTTTTTCCAACTTGATGAACTCCCGAATGTGTCCCCTTTGCTATGACTCCCTGGGATGTCCTCTCTTCTTCTTTACTGGCCCTTCCCCCAAGTCCTACAGGAGAAACTTCAGCACCCTGCTGCATCCAGCCCCTCCCCCATTTCTATAAAGTTATAGAATCTGACAGCCAGAAACACCCTTAAAGGCAACATAGTACTTCACCTCAGGGAGAAAAATGAGGAAGTAGTTACATGTCCAAGATCACACTGACCTCAGAGGTTCAGCCAGCATCAGATCCTAGATTTCCACTCCTGCCACAATGCCAACCTGCCTGTGAAGCTCTGGATTTTCTAAAGCTGGCAGTGTTAGGGAAAAGTCCCTCACACCTTGCTGTCACCCCTGGACATGTTCTAGATACCCACAGTCTTCCACCTTCTTGCTGAACTCCTACTCATCTATCACCGTTCAGTTTAAATGCCCTTTCACCCAAGACTCGTTCCAGACCCTGAACATCCCTAAGATGGGAGTAGGTGATTCTCTGTGTCCTCACAGCTTCTTTGTATGTCCCTTATCAGGATATTATAAACCACAGTTTAATCAGGATATTATAACCTTTTCCACTGAACAGTCAACATCATTCAGGTGGGCCTTTTTCTTCTTTAATTGAGCTTCTCTACCAATACATACAGGTGGGTCTTAAAGACTACTGCGCCTCCTGCCCCCAGCACAATAAAAGTAATTGAATGGTGGGGGGAGGGTGTTACTGCTCTTCATTCACTGAAATGAGTCATTGGCACTCTCACCCTAACACCACTCACTATCAGCGACAAAAGAGCCACAACTTCTAAGCTCCATCAGAGTTGGAGGTGGAGGTGTCAATTTCTATTTAGGAGAGAGAGAAGGCTGCAGATGGCAGGGGCTGCACAGGAGGGAAAGTCAGGAAACCCGCTGCTAAAGTGCCCGGGATGGAGGACTGATTGAACTTGGCCCTTCTGTGCCAAGGTCTTGTGTTGGGCAGTGGAGACATGGAAAGCAGTCAGACTCCAGAAACCTGAGTCTGCTCTGTAACCTAGGCGAAGTTCGGATTCAGGGCCCAAACCTCCCCTTTGGAAAACAAAGGTGACACTTGCTTTCCTCATTAAAGGGAGGGCAGCCATAAGCTTTGAGAAAAGCTGCACAGGCCAAATATCAATTACTGTCTCGTGCATGACGCGCTGTTCCCCCTCGGGTCGTCTGCCCTTGTTTGGGCTTCACTTTCTCATCTGCTAAAGGACCCGACCGGCCTGCATAACCTCATGAGCCTGAACCCTGCCTCAGTGACACCGCCCTGCACAGCAGAAGTCCGAATCCCACCTTACCCCAGCTTGGCCCTTCATGGTCTCACCTGTCGGCGGGGCGTAAGCCCGGGCTGGAGACGGGATGGTTGGCCCTGGACTCTTAGAAGCGCTGGGGCCACCCGCAGGCCGATTCAGGAGGCGGCGTCCCCCGTCCCGCAGCCGGTGGCAGCTCCTCCACATCGCGCCCGAGGGTCTGGGGGGATGCGCGGCGCGAAACCTGGAGCAGGAAACTGAGCGAAGGGACCTCCAAAGCCGCACGTTCGGGCTGTACGGAAACCTCTCACTGCCCCCTCAGAGCCTCAGCCTCCCCTGGATGCCGCCATCTTCCACATGACACCAACGGCGTGCCGTCGCCGCCGCACGCCTCCTGCGCACACCCCCAGTCAATTAGCATCACAAACGCACCTCGCTCCGCCCCCTCCACGCCGCGCCCCAGCGAGGAGACTACAAGTCCCAGCGGGCCGCTCGCGCACCCCACCACGTGCTTTCTCCTCCCGCCAATGGGTGGAAGCGCCGCGTGAACCTGTTCCCGCCCCCCCCGGCTCGCCCGAGCCAATCGGAAGGGGCGGGGTGTGTGTGTGTGCGTGCGTGTGTGTGTGTGTGTGTGTCTGTGTGTGTCTGTGTGTGTGTGTATGTGTGCGCGAGAGCAAGTCGGGAGGGGGACCCAGCTCAGGACTGGGAGGCCCTGCTCGCAGGTCCCTGGGTCCCGGTGGCGGCCGGAGCGCTTAGTCCGCAGACAGCGGACGGGTGGTCGCCCCTCCCGCCCCCACCCTGCGCGTGCGCGCCCCGGCCTCTCCCTCCCCGCCACCCTCCTTGGCTCCCGCGCGGCGGCGGCGGTTCCTCTCCCACTCCCCCCAGCCCTGGCTCCGGGGGACCCCGCGATGCCGGTCCGCACCGAGTGTCCCCCGCCGGCCGGTGCCTCGGCTGCCTCCGCGGCCTCACTCATCCCGCCGCCGCCCATCAACACCCAGCAGCCCGGCGTGGCCACCAGCCTGCTCTACAGCGGCTCCAAGTTCCGCGGCCACCAGAAGAGCAAGGGGAACTCGTACGACGTAGAGGTGGTGCTGCAGGTGAGCGCCGGGCCGGGCCGGGGCCCGAGGGCCTCCTCGCGGCGCTCACGGGCCGTGCCCGTCTCGGCTCCTCGAGCCCGCAGCCGCGGAGCAGGCCCTCGTCGCCGGGGCCTCCTGCACCCGGCGCTTCCCACCCGGGACCTGCCCAGCCTGTGCCTCACACTCTCCGAGCCCCAGCCCTGACCTGCCCCCTCGGACCCGGAGCCCGTCAAGACCCGCTTCTGGCGGACCCCGAACACTCTCCCAGACTTGAAGCCGGTGACCGGCCGGTCTGGGATCCGGAAGCCCCCCGTGACTCGGGGAAGGCCCGGGTCCTCCCTCCTCACGACCTGTCGTCCCTACATCAGGGACTGCCACCAGCCCTTTTCAGACCCTGAAAAACTCTCCATTGGTTTCACCAGACTCGGGACCCTCCCCGTGTCTGGGCCCGTGTCAGATTCTCTCAGAGCTGAGTCCTGCCCTCCCGCCTCTTCCTCAGTCCCAGGAATCCGCAGACCCTGGGGGCTTCCTCTTCCTGAGATCTCCTTAGGAGGGCTTCAGCAGACCCCTCAGACGGGGAAGCACCACACGCACCACTGATTGGTCAGGCCCTGGCCACACCTCAAGACCAGACACTCACTCCCTGAGTGCTGCTCACAGTCTGCTGGGATCTTGCCTCTTAGGTCCCCTGTTCCACTCGCTGCTTCCTTCTCTTCATGGTCCAGGCACCCAGCCCCTTCCAGCTGCTCCACCCCCAAGCCTCCTGTCCCTGCTCTGGGACCACTTGCAGCCTTCTTCCAATCTTTCTGGCGTCTGTCCAGACTTCCCCACCCCATATCTTCGTCTTGCTCGATCCTCGTTCCAGGGGACTCTCTTTCCTGTTCTTAACTTTTCTCTACACAGGCATGGGGCTTCCTCCCAGTCTCTGATACCCATGTACTGGGAGATCTAACTCACCCAGTTTTAGTTCATGTCCAGCAGCCTCCCTGCATTTGACCTGGATTCCTGAATACCTGCTGCCAGTCCCTGATCAGCCTTGGAAGGACAGCTTCACCTGTCTGGGCCTTTCCCACCTCACTCCTCTCAGGCTTGACACTTTTTGCCAGCTGAAATACTGCCCCCCAGGTGTGAGGGTGAAATGTACAGTGTATCTGTTCCTCAAGCTTGCCTTTTGACGGGTTAAAACTCTAAATCTTAGTTTCACTTCTGAAGAGTAGGTCTCCCATCCGAAAGACAATGAGGGTGCCTTTTCTTCCTGCTGTCTACAGAGCACGCATCACTCTTTCATTCTCATACTGCTGTGTGGGAATAAATAGTTTGCTTACTTGAAACAGTATCGTCATGCTAATTTTATCTTTGGTCTGTAAAGTCCTATCATGAACCACAATCTTTATTATAATGGAAAAAACTATTGTGGCTGAAATATTTTTGTCTTCATAACTATATGCCTAATGCGGTGATCCTCTTCTCTTTTTCTTAAAATGTGTCATTTCGGTTTGTTTTGCACCCAATCATAGAATTCTGGAGGTGAGAACCCAGGGTGGGTCATGTATGGGATGGTGTTGGATTTGTCCCCATTGTTGAGTTTGATGGTTTCTGATGTAGTAGGGGACAGTTGGCAGGGTAGCCAGGTGTCCAAGGGGAGTCTGCTTTGACTACTGCAGCAACTGCTGCTCCATTCTGTCATTTGGGTGTCACTTCCAAGCTCCTGTCAGAAGGAGAATCGTGAACCAGTGGAAGTGGCGATTGAGTTGGGACAGGGCTGATAGGTCTCAGGCAGCTCAGAGCAGAAACCTGGCGGATGGCTTGGGAGCCACTTGAGTAGGAAGTCTGCTGATGGGGGTGGTGGTCATGCCAAGGAATGCTGCCCTACATCTGGATTGGTGAGCTGCTTGGTCCTCATCATGACTAGTCAGTGGCGTGTGAATTGCCCCATCAGCTGGTTTTTCAGCCAGGACTAGTTTCTCAGACACAGCCTTAGACATAAAATACTTCTGCCTTTCACAATTCTCCTTCCTTCCTTCCTTCCTTCCTTCCTTCCTTCCTTCCTTCCTTCCATCTTTCCTTCCTTCCTCCCTCCCTCCCTCCCTTTTTCTTTATTTAGATACAATTCACTTATTTAAGGTGTACTTCAGTAGTTTTTAGTATATTCACAGTTGATTAACCACTACCACAACCTAATTTTAGAACCCTTTCATCACCCCCAAAAAGAAACCTTGTACCCCTTAGCCATAACCCCCTCTTCAATCCTAGGCAACTCCTCATCTATTTTTTTTATTTGTGTATTCTGGACGTTTTATATAATCATACAGTGTATGTCCCTTTGAGATTGGCTTTTTTCACTTAGCATAATGTCCTCAGGTTTCATCCATATCATTCATTATACATAGCAGCACTTATATTCCATTTTATTGTTGCATTGTTCATTGTAACAATTGCCCGTTGAATATATACAGCATTTTGTTCATCTAGTGATCAGCTGATGGACATTTGGGTCTTCTACTCTGGCTGCTATGAATAATACTGCTATGAACATTTATGTACAAGTTGTTGGTTTTTTTTTTTGGTAGATAACTACATGGGAGTGGAATTGCTGGGTCATATGGTAACTGTTTTAACATTTTGAGGAACTGTCCCTGGACTGTTTTACATTTCAACCAACAGTGGGTGAGAGTTCCAGTTTCTCCACATCCTCACCAACACTCACTGTTCATCTTTTTATTATAGCCATCCTTGTGTGAAGTGGTGTCTCATTGTAGTCTTGATTCGAATTTCTTTTTTTTTTTTTTTTT